CACGGAGTGATCGCCGGTGCGTAACCTTTCCGATCTATTGTTTAGCTGTTCTTTTAGTTCTGGGTTAATCTGTTTTCAGATTAAGAAAAGCATGGTTATGAACAAAGTGTGCAGAATCGGGAACATTTAAATTTCAAAAAAAGAAGAAGAAACTTGACGGCAAAGTCCTTACCACCCCTTCCTCAAAACGTTTGTGCCTTGAAACCTTGTGCACTGGGTAACACATTCCATTTGCCCAAGGGGGGAGTTTCCAGGCACCTTCTGCCCAGTGAAACATCCATCAGAGCACTAACCCGTTTTCGACAGAAGTGAATCCAAAATGCACATCTGGAAGGGCCTTACCCCATCCTCCTGCTCATCAGTAGTGGAAGGTTCACTTGGTTCTCAATAACATCTCTAAATGCTGTGGGGCCGGATCTTGGTACCCAGGCACAATGCGAAGGAAAGGAAGCTGGAGAGAGGGTAAGGTAACCCCCCCAGGACCGGCCAGGCAAGCTGGGACGGGGCGGCGGGGCAGGCACCGCAGTCCGAGGAGCGTTCAGTAGCTGGCCCAGCCCAGACTGCCCTCCTTGTGCTCCGGGCTCTGCTGGGAACCCCTTAGCCCCCGACAGTGGGGATGTGGGGACGTACATCCCCTTTTCGCCCTAACCCTTCCCCGCTGCAGGAGCGTACTTCGGGGTTGAGGTACATCACGCATAGCTTGGAAGGATTTGTATGTCGGCGTGAAGCCGAATCTGCCTTGACCCTCAAGTAGCCTCTTCCTTCCCTCCTCTTCCTCTTTGCACAGACTTACTAAGCTGGATCCCATTCCCTGTGGTTGGGAACGTGGGAACTTCCTCACTCCGTCCTCAGGTGGGGGACTTGGAAGACACAAAAAAGGGCAAATCTGGCTTCCCGTTTTCCCTGAAGTGTCTGTGAGCAGAAACAATAACCCTGGACAGATACACGTAGTGATAACATGTTGCTCTCCTTGAAATGGTAGGGCAGGACTAGGAAATTACTAGCAATATTTTTGTTGTCCCAGGGGAAGGTGGCTCCGCTCCGCTCCTTCCTCACGCAGCTGGAGAGGATTTGCCGCGCAGAGCAGTTCCTCTTCTACGGAAATGGGGTTTTGTCAAATCAGAAACCTCTGAGTTTTGCTGGACTTCTTGTCCGGAGAGACCGCTCAGGTCTGCCAGAGGTTCGGAGGCAAACCGAAGGGGTAAGAAATCGCGGTATCACTGTGCCAGTTGCTGGGGCTCTCCTGTGGGGTGCAGGAGAAGTCCTTCCTTCTTCAGAGGCAGTGTCGTAGTTTGGGTCAGGAGTAATCCGGGGGTGGTTCCCCGTTACCCTCGTTTTGCTTTGCATCGAGGAGTGGTCTTGGACCGTGCTCCCCAGGTTGCCGTAGGGTGGCACGGCAGCGGGGTTGCCCCGATGGCTTCGGGCCATCACTTCACACGAACAGCCACCAGAGAAAATTGCATGTGATGCCCTTCCACCTTGATGCATTCCTGTGGGTCAGGAGTAATCCGGGGGTGGTTCCCCGTTACCCTCGTTTTGCTTTGCATCGAGGAGTGGTCTTGGACCGTGCTCCCCAGGTTGCCATAGGGTGGCACGGCAGCGGGGTTGCCCCGATGGCTTCGGGCCATCACTTCACACGAACAGCCACCAGAGAAAATTGCATGTGATGCCCTTCCACCTTGATGCATTCCTGTAGAAGAAATCGATTTGGCCAGCCCTCGTTGAGGGCTCAGCCTTGCATTCTGTGTGCAAGCAAAAATATTCTTGTTGTCTGTGGGACTTAGGATCGTTTTGGGTTTACTTTTGTGTGCGACTGGTCATAGGTGGAAACTTAGCGATGAAACCACCTCCCCAGAAGAGGATGTATCAGCTTCCGTGTTTCCAACATTGGATCCGATGGCCTTTTGCAAGAACAGAGCTGAATAAAAATTTACTTAGGAGCTAAAAGAGGGTATTAGAGCTTAGAAAAACATACAAAAGCAATGGGTGTGCGCTTTTAGAAGGCATCTGTAAGGCAACCTCTTAATACTTCACGTGATGCAGACTGCAAGGTGCCACCGGAGGCATTTATTGTGAAAGTGACAGTCCTCAGAACTTTGCATATATTATTTTTTTTTTCCGAGTGTCATATGATACGAGTATATGAATTCCTCCTAACTCTTTGTGAGCATGAGGCGAGTGTGAGAGCAGTGAGGCAAGAAAGATGAAGATCTAACAAGATGAATTTGAATGCAAGACAAAACACATTTGTTTAAAAAAAAAAAAAAAGGCAAAAAACCAAAACCACCTTGAAATAGGTTTCTCTTGGAATGCTGCTAAACATGACCTTATGAGTAATGCATGTTTGTCTGCTTGTCTGTTTAAAACATACGGCTTTTTGTTGCTTGGGAGCTTCATTTGGGTGGTTAATATGTACATGAGAAGGCTCCTACGGGAGCTGGTGCAAATACAGACAATAAGCATTTGGAAAAGGGACGGTCTTTTGTCTCGAGCGGAGGAGTGCGAAGAAATAGGCAGCTCCCTTTTACACATTGTAAGCACCGGTAAGCAATACAATATTCTTGCTTTCTAAGAAGCAAAGAAAGAGTTTAATTACTCTTACAGCCAAATGCTATACAGAGTTTTAACGCAAGGTCCAAGCAACAGGAGGCTGGATTTGGTGAAAAGGTTGATTTCACCCTTTCATTTTTCCTAATGCTCCCGTCAACCTAGCGGGACTGACAGAGTCATCTGCTCTTCCACGTTACTGGTGTAGGTTGTGATTTTTAATTTTTTTTTTCCTATGTTTTGTTTTAAAAATGTGTGCCAGTTGGATGATTGCTGTGGTGAACTGAAGCAAGTCCCGCTGTGGCTGGCTTGCCCAATTCGGTGAAATATTTAGTGAGGAAGGTTATTCATTCAGCAGAACTGAGCAGTCCTCCAGCTCATGCTGTTTATAATTAAAAATGATTTCTGGGTGAGCGAGTTAATTATTTCTTGCTGTCTCAGTACCCTCTACCTATTCTAAAACTGGTATTGACCTTCAGGAACAGCTGAATTTCAGCCTTGTGGTTCCTAGCATATGCTGATTATTTTGGTTGGGGTGAACATTTAGTGTTTCTCCTGGGAGGTTCAGACATAAATAAAAGTTTAGAGGACCTCTGGGTAAATATGTTCATGGTTCAGCACTTTAATGTGTCAATTAGCTACTAACAGTGTCAATAAATTGGACCTGTCAAAAATAATAGCTTCCTTGCCAGTCTTTATCTCCCGCTTTACCTGTGTGCTGCAAGAAATACATTACACACCACTGAAGGTAGTAAAAGCCAACTTTTCCATGCCTATAGCAAAAATTAACAAATCAAGACCGCTTTTTTTTCAGGCTTGGGTCTTGCACAAATGACTCTCGCTCTCATATTCCAACATGCGAGTCGTACGACAGTTACAGTTACTTCCTTGCCGATGGTATTTCTTTAGGAGATGGGCCACAGAAGCATGTTGCAAACGACAGAAGTCCGTACGCGTGCCAACGGATGTCGATAAATGCCCGTAGGTTGCGTTCGCAGACGTGCAGCACGGCACCCAAGTTCGGTAGGACTGATAAAACGGGGTGTTACATGCCACAAATTGCTTCTCGGGTGCTGCTTGTTGCACAAAGCTGTGATTCAATGTTTGGTTTTTTTTTAAATGTTGTTCGAACACAAAGCGGTCATCCTGGAGCTGATACGCCTCCAGCAGCGACTGAAGGGGGTGGCAGAAAGGAGAGCAGAAGGTGGCCAAGTGTCCGTGGTGGCCAACTGCAGCTCAGGGCCCTGCCGGCCTGACACCGATTTCTCTTTAGTGAATGTATCCAGTCTTTTTTTTTGAATCTCTGTAAACTTTTAGCATCCAGATATCCTGTGGAAAGGAGTTCCACAACTTTGTTATATGAACAAGTGCACTTTGTGTTTTGAATCTGCTGCCTTCTGCTTTCTTTAGATGTCCTCTGGTTCCTGGTTTAATATATAAATTTCCTATATATTTAAGACTTTCATGCACGGTTTGGTTTTTTTTTGTTTATTTGCTATTATGTAAAATTTGCTGTAATAGGCAATGAAAATGTGGTTTAGCTCTCGACATTTCCACCCACTGGAGATCAAAGCAAAAAGAATGCATACCCTAATAGTGGAAGTCCATTTTCATTTTAAATGAGATGTAACGACAGGTTATGAAGAAAAACATCTTGTGATGGTTATTCAGCTGTGTAAGATTGCAGTGTTCCACCCTGTAAACAGTGATAGGAGATTATCACAGTCTTTCAATTGCAAGATATTCTGGGCAGGGAGAAGAGGCCGAGCAACCGGTTGTCCTGCTGA